GGATACAGGGAAATTCTGCCGATACCATCAGCAGAATAGCCACAATACCGAGGACTGCATAAGTTTGCGAAAAATCGTTGAACGGTTAATTCGGGAAGGCAAACTGGATCAATACATAGCTAGGCACCAACAGGCGCCAGTAGCGAACGCTAATCAGCAGATCAACATGATCAGCACGATCAGCGGAGGCTTAGCCCTCGCCGGAGCATCTAACCGGTCGATAAAGCAGTATGTCAGGGCGGCACAGTACCCCCAAGTCCTCGGCATTGAAGGTAGCCGCCACACAAAGATGCCGAAGGTCAGGTGGGAACCCATCAGCTTCTCCGAGGAAGAAGAGGAAGGGATCATCTACCCACATAACGACCCTATGATCATCCGAGCCGAGATTGCCGAGTTCGATGTCGGACGAATCCTGATCGACAATGGGAGTTCGGTAAACGTCATCTTCGCCGATGCATTCAAAGAACTCGGGATAGATGACAGCCAGGTCAATCGGCAACTCTCGCCTCTCCTAAGCTTTTCGGGAGATCTGGTCCAGCCAATCGGTAGTGTCAGTCTGTCAATCTCTTTCGGCACAGCCCCACGAAGGACCATGGTCTACGACCAGTTCCTTGTGGTGGACTGTCCCACGGCGTACAACGTTATTGTCGGCCGAACGGCGCTCACGGCAATAAAGGCCCACTTGTCCCCCCACATGCTACTCATGAAGTTCCCAACCTGCTACGGCACGGGGGCAATCAGGGGCAATCAATTGAGCGCTCGGAACTGCTACGCCACAGCGTTGAAATCGGCAGCTCCGCACAAGCAAAAGGAAACCTTCACGGTCGCAGACCTGCCGAACGGCAATGAGCCAGTAGACGATCCAAGGGAGGAAATGCCCACCCCGGTGGCACAACCTGCCGAAGATCTCGAAACGGTGGCGGAACCGGTAGACGATCCGAGCGACAACCGGAACGGTGTGTAAGAATCGATACCATGCTGAACGCCACCCTCCGTGTTGAATTCATCCAGTTCCTTCGGCAGAATTCGGAGGTCTTTGCCTGGTCCTACAACAACATGCCGGGCATATCCCCTGACATCATCAGCCACAAGCTGAGCATCTCGCCAGCATTCAAATTGGTCAGGCAAAAGCGTCGATCGTACGATACCGAACGGTATGAAGCCATGAAGAATGAAGTGGACAAACTCATGACCATCGGCTTCATCCGAGAGGCTGTATACCCGGATTGGCTAGCAAACTCTGTCATGGTTCGGAAGGCAAAAGGCGGGTGGCGAATGTGCCAAGACTATACCGACCTCAATAAGGCCTGTCCGAAGGATAGCTTCCCATTGCCACGCATCGATTAGCTAGTTGACGCCACTGCCGGTCACGAATTGCTCAGCTTCATGGACGCATACTCAGGATACAATCAGATCTTCATGCACCCTGCCGATAGCGAACACACGGCGTTCATAACAGACAAAGGCTCACGAGCTGCTCAGCTTCATGGACGCATACTCTGGATATAACCAGATCTTCATGCACCCTGCCGACAGCGAACACACGGCATTCATAACAGATAAAGGCTTATACTGCTATAACGTCATGCCATTCGGCTTAAAGAATGCGGGGGCAACCTACCAGAGACTAGTCAACCGAATCTTCGCTGAGCAGATCGGCAGCACCATGGAGTTCTACGTGGATGACATGCTAGTAAAGAGCCGAACGCCAGGCGAGCATCTGAAAAACCTATCACTCATGTTCGGCATCTTGAAGGATTACCGAATGAGACTTAACCCGACAAAGTGCGCCTTCGGCGTATCTTCCGGGAGATTCCTCGGTTTCATGATCAGCCAGAGGGGTATTGAGGCAAACCCCGATAAAATCAAGGCCATAATCGACATGGAGGTGCCGAAGACACAGAAGGACATCCAGAGCCTTACCGGACGAGTGACAGCCCTCACTCGCTTCATCTCCAAAGCCACAGACAAGTGTGCACCGTTCTTCAAAGCCTTGAAAGGGGGCAAACACCATATAGAATGGACTGCCGAATGCGATAAGGCGTTTCAAGACTTGAAGGACTATATGGGCAGAGCACCGCTACTCTCCAAACCTCTTCCTGGGGAAATACTCTCCATATACCTATCGGTATCCAACACTGCCGTCAGCTCAGTATTAATACGAACACCTGAGAGGGCAGAACTACCGATCTTCTACGTCAGTAAGGCCCTACAGGAGGCAGAGTCTCGGTACCCCCCACTCGAGCAGCTGGCTTTGGCTCTGGTCGTTTCTGCCCGGCGGTTGAGGCCCTACTTTCAGGCCCATACCATCATCGTGCTAACCAAACAGCCCCTTCGGTCGGCAAGTTTTTCAAAAACCAGAAACATCCGGAAGGCTGGTGAAATGGGCGATCGAGCTAGGAGAATTCGACATACAGTTCAAACCCAGGCCTGCCGAAAAAGGACAAACCGTAGCAGACTTCATCGCTGAACTGACACCTTCGGAGGCTTCAGAACCTGAAAAAACCCCTCCACGGGAAGGCCTACCGAACGGCAGTCGTCTCGACCAGTCAACTCCTTTCTGGATCCTACACGTTGACGGCTCGGCAAACCAACAAGGATGCGGAGCTAGTCTGGTACTCACCGCTCCCGATGGAGCCAAAATTGAATATGTCATCAAGTTTGGCTTCCGAACGTCCAACAACGAAGCCGAATACGAGGCGCTTTTGGCCGGCCTACGGCTCGCCAGAAGCATGGGGGCAATCCAGGTCGAAAGATCCCCGTCGAGATACTGACACTTCCGAGCACAGCCATTGCCGAGATCTGCGCTATAGAGTACAACAACACATGGATGTTGCCTATTCATGCTTACCTAACGAACGACACCCTCCCTGCAGACAAGGCCAAGGCCAGACAGCTACGTTACCGATCGACAAGGTACATTGTCATCAACGACATTCTGTACAAACGTGGCTACTCGACCTTCACATGAAATGTATCACCGAAGAGCAGGGCGAATATGTCCTTCGGGAGATCCACAGTGGTGTCTGCGGCGATCATTCCGGCT